CTCTGCATCTCGGCTGGATTTCTGTAGCTCTTTACAGCAGCTGGTGTCTGCGCATGCAAAAAGCCGCCTGCTCCAGTCTCCCCTCCAGCGGTCATCCTTGGGGCGATCGCGAGAGGTCATTTGAACAGCCGGGGAGGCAGTGGGGGTCGATCCCATGGATGGGGGCACTGTGATTGCCAGCCTCTTCTCCACCCACAGCCCAGCAAGTGCAAGGAGCAGCCAGCCCGAAATTCAAGCCGGACTGCAAATTTTCCTGGCTCTGTGTGGCGGTTCTCAGTGTTTTGCTGCTCATCCTCCTGGCCTTGCTTGTAGGCATCCTAGTCATCTACCGTAAGTTCTGGGCTGGGGGACTGTGGAGGGGCTTTCCTGCAACTGAAGCCTGGCCCAGGCCAAATCGGGCTTGTGGTGGGGAAAGCTGGGGATGCCTGTTGCAATGTCTCCCTGAAGCTGTGTTAGCCACAATGGCAGGGACCGTATCTGCTCCTTTCTTGCTACCCTAACCCCAGAGGTCACATGCTTAAAATCAAAGAAGCCAGCGCCCTTGAGCACATCCTGAGCAGAGGAATTTATTTTCAGGCCCAAAGAGGCTGAACTCGCTGATAAAAGGCCAGTTCTCTCCCTGTCAGCAGCTGCATGGAAAGACATCCCTCAGACCTTCTGGTAGACCCCACTCTTGGAGATCCATCCTTTCTCCACCCACAGATACGGTCCTTCTCTATGCGTAGGCTGTAAGCTATGGACCTGTTGCCTTCCCATGAGCAAACTGCAACTCCTGCCTCTTTTTCCATCAGCCACCCCAGATGAATTGGGTGGGAGCTGAGCTGGAGGCACTGAATTGCTTGCCAGTTGAACCGTCTGGGCCATTGGAGCAGAGACGGTGAGTGCAGTCTTGCACCACTGCTCCCTCCTGTCCCTGGAGATCAGATGACTGGGTGACTCTTCTGCTCCCTTCTCGCCCAAAATCCTGCCTTCCCAAAGGCTAGCCTCCTGTTTGGGAGTGGTGGGGTGTGAAAAGAGGAACTGTGATTGATCTGGAAGAGGGTGGATTTCTTGGCCGGCTCATGACTCAATATTATTAATTCTCTCCAAAAGCCTAAGCCCCAGGCATTATTTCTTGCTCTTTGATTAATTTTTGTAAAAGGCACTTTTACACTTATCTTGTAAAGTGTAAAGGAGTCTTGTAAAGGAACCAGGCTGAAAGAGGCAGGGAGGGATGAGGACTCTGAGAGGTGGAGCTTTTGAGACCAAATCTTTCTAATTTTAGTATCTTTATTCTTTTCCTCTTCAATTTCTCTTCTCTCTCGCTTTTTTCCCCTGGAGGCAGAGCTAAAATCACCCCCTCCGATTAAGCCCTCTCGTGGGACTCCCACTGGGCACACCGCCACCAATGCCACCGTCCCTTCCATCAGGAGGACTTCCTGGAGCCCCATCTCCACCGCTTCCCCACCCCAACGAGAGCTGCAGGGAGCCACAAAGCCAGGGCCCTGTGAGTACCGGTTGCTGCTGAGGCTGTATCTCTAACCTGGTTTCCCTGACCTGGGGTCCTCTGAATGGCCTCTAACTCCCATAATTCCCACCCAGCCTGGCCAATGCTGGGAATTACAGTCCAACAGTTGGAGAACGCCAGGGAAGATGTTGACATGGTGGGAGTCTGCTCTCTGTCACATATCGACCAGAAATACAGAGAGGCAGATGCTCTTAGCTTTTTTTGCAAAAGGTTTGCTTGGCTTGACCTCACCGTCCACGCTGGTGGAGGATGGAGGTTGCGCCTTCATATATCTGGAGGAGATGAGGTTGGGGAGACTGCTCTAACCATGTCACCATTCTTCCTCTGTTTTGTTTTCTTCAGCTGAATCATACCCAGCTGCTCCCTTTAACCATTTGCTTCCCCTTGCATCCCTAAACTGGTCGTTTCATTTGCTGCCTTCTCTTCTAGTGTGTGGGGGGAAACTTGGGGGCCCCGAGGGCTCCTTCAGCTCCCCCAACTACCCAGATCCCTACCCACCCAACGTCCTCTGCCAATGGCACATCCACGTGAAGGCGGGGATGGTGATTCAGCTGAAAGTAGAAGCCCTGGATGTGGAGGCCTCTGACCTGTGTTTCTATGACCGGCTGGAGATCTACGAGGAGCCAGATAGTACCTCCCTTTGGGATGGGAGTACCAGGTAGGTAGGATGCCCTGCAGGAGGGATGGCCCAGGCCTCTGTGTGTGTGTGTCTGTGTTCAGCTGCTATTGGGGTCTTCCAGATAGGTTGGATTTAAGCTTCCTGGATCCTCCACCCAGATGATTGAGTCAAGCCAACACCCAGAAAGACCCAACCAGGTTTGAGAAGACTGCAAGAGGACCTGGGAACAAAACGACTGAGGCAGAGGCAGTGGGTTAGGAGGAGGGATTGGATAGAAGGACAGAAGAGGGGTGGCCTCTCACGCAAGTGATTTTTGGAAGGGGCAGCAGGGGAGAAAGGGCAGAATCTTTTCAGCACCCTAGGGTGGGAAGGGATCATTCGTCCAACCCCTCGCCTGGGGTAGGAATTGTCAAATCGTCCCAGACCAATGGCTGTCCAATCTTTGTTAGAAAACTTCCAGTGATGGAACCCCCATGACTCCAGAACAGGCTGTCGCACTGCTTAAGAGCTCTCACAGCTAGGACGTTCAACCTTTTTTCAAGTTTGATCTCTCTGTATAGATCTTCCACTCATTGGTTCTTGTCCTACCTTCAGGCATTACACATCCACCCCCTCTTCTCTGGGGCAGTCCTTCAAGTCTTGGGAAACTGCTATCCTGTCTCCTCTTAGCTTTCCCTTCTTTAGGCTAAAAACGTCTACTTCTTTCAACAGTTCCTCATAGGATTTCCAGAAGGAGGGCTAAGGGTGGTGGAATGGGAAGCACAAGGAGATACAGGAGGGGAGGATAGGAAGGTTGGAGAGAAGAGAAGAAGCCCGTGGTGACTTTGCAGGTGAGGACAGGAGGGCAAACAGGAAGTCCCAACAGGACTTTCAGGAGAGCTGTTCACGATCAGGGCAATTCAGTGCATGATTTGGGAAGCAGATTGTTGGATGGAAGCGAGGAACTCAAACAAGAGAACAAGAAGGAAAGAGAAGGAAACAGCATGGTGTCAAGAACTGCCTGCTCAGTTCATCTTGATGTGATCATCAGCAAAACCTGAAGGGCGAGCTGGCTTGCAAAATTCATGAGGAGATCTTCCTGCAGCTGTTGGAGAGCCAAGATGGTGTAGCAGTAAAAGTGCCAGACTAAGAACAGGGAGACCCGGGGTCTAGTCCTTCCATAGGCATGGAAGCCAGCTGGGCGACCTTCCTGAAGTCGCTGTCTCTCAGCCGTAAACAGCCCTATGCTCTTTGGCAAGCTGTCTGAAGAACAAGCCTCTTGTCTTGTGTATCAAGAGCTTCACCACTGAACTGGGCAAGAGCAGTGCAGAGACAAGGAGATCCTGCAACAAGCAGGACAAACCCTAAGAAAAAGAAGATTTACTCTTGCCCATGGATTCGTCCCTCTGGTGGTGACAGCTGGAAATATTTGTTTACTTATTCATTGATTTGTACATTCATTTTATTTCTCTATGGTCAAATCCACCAAGATCCACTCAAGTTCTACAAGAGAGTAATAAAGAGTGAGCAGGGGGCAGTTAACAAAGCTCGGTGTCCATGGTTTCAGGTGGCATGCCCCAATCCTTCAAACGTCAACACTTTTCTGTATTTTCTGTTCTGAATCTTGTAAGTCCCTTTGAAAGGATCATTTTTAGTTTTTTTTTTTTTAAACGTCCTTAACTTCTCTGGTTTACAAATACCTTGACATGACTATTGGTCAAATGCAACGTTTCGCCCCCTTTGGTGTTTTCTTCTTCAGCCTTAACATCTCACTGTGATTCATCACTGGGACTATTTGGGGGAAGGGTGGCCGGACCCAAAATAGTCAAAGGAAAAGTGAAACGTTGCAAGCAAATTCAAGGAAAACAGCATCATAAAACCTGTTGCCCTAGGATTCTAATATGGTTATTATGAAGAGTTAAGCTCTGTATCCTGCCAACTTTCGGCAAGTTACAATAAAAAGAGGAAACGGTTCAAACTGAAAATATTTAAAATGAATAAATTTTAGATTCTGTTGTGCAATGGCCAGCCCGACACAAGCCATTCCTCACTGTTATCTGGAATGCTACTTATTTATTCACAAAACTTTCATGACCATCTACCTTATGCCCAACAACTCCAGGCGACTCACAACAAAACCAAGAAAATAGCAGTAACACAATCGTATCACCTGTACAAAGTAGCCTCACGCTTCCCACCACAATGCCATAACCTCCGTCGCTTCCCAAATGCTGGCTTGTTCTCCTCCTAGGAAAATGCTTGGCGGAAAAGCCAGCTCTTCATGGAAGGCTAAAAGGTTAGGGGCCCTCTGGGTCTCCGGTGGGGGGCTGCTACAGAGAAGGCATGCCACCAAGGTGCCACCTGTAGAGAGGGTAAGGAGGATGACCTTAATGGAGATGTGCAGGAACTGTTTGCAAGGCCAAAGGGGCTGAGGCATTTTTTAAGTCCAGAACTTCAAGGTAATGTTTGAAAGCAGCTCGGCCAGACATCTCCCTGGTTCACTGGAACGGTGTTTCTCAACCTTGTCCACTTGAAGATGGGTGGACTTCAACTCCCAGAATTCCCCAGCCAGCCAT